CTTTAAGGTATCCTCGTAATAACCTTATATTATATATCAGGAAATCTGCATGAAACAATTTCAATATATTTTAATATGTCCATACAAAGAACTTATTAAGTTGCATTATAATGACTTAAATATCTTATTTCAACAGGCAATCTAATGTATTTTGTGGGGATATCCAAATATTTTCTGATATTAAGTCGTTTGGTAGCAGGTTAGTGAAATTTTATCACTTCTACAATAGGTTGTATCAGAGGTACATTACTTGGGGTTTGCAACGCGCATAGTTCTGTATGGTGACATCATGTCAAAATCCCATTCAAGTCTCATCTCGTAGATAGCGAGACTGATGCTACGACCTTCTGCCATGACATACATGTATATCAATGTTCAAGGTTTGTAATAAAACACGTCTTACCACTATCATAGTGAAAAAATGTAATACATCGAAAATGTGCAGAAAATATAGTTCTCGTAATCCGTCATATGGTAAGCAGCTATTTTGTTCCACCTGGACCTCCCAGTATCCTAGTTGCCTTTGGCATGTGCATTCGCATTGTTCTGAGTTGGGAACGCTTATACGAGAGCGAGATTGTAACGGGATCTTGGTATCATGTCACGCTACTTGCAAACCCCAAGTAATGTACCTCTGGTTGTATATAGATAAGAGATTTGATTCTGATCAGTATACAGTCTGAAAGGTACATGTTGCTGTAACACTTTTATATAAAGGTATAAATTTGGCAAAATGTCTGTCTGTCTGCTGGTCTCTTGTGAGCTCAACTATGCAAAAAGTTTGCATGTGATCTATTTCAAATTGATACATCTTAGGTATTTAGCCTTTGCATCAATTTACACCCGAATATATTTAACTGTCATTTTACCCAATCGCACGATGTTTGGTGTGTTAATTATCTGCTACTTGCAACATTTCCAAAGGGCAAGGTTGTAATAGTTTCACTATGTTTTACTAATTTTGTTAAAACTGAATCATTTTAGCTTTTTGAGAAACACATCTATTTTGAATCATGAAAACTTGTTACTTGGTTCACTAAGGTGTTGGTTCTGGTGCTGGTGCTGCCATCTTTGCACAGATCACTCACACAACGACTGATAAAGAAAGGACAGCAGCAATATCTGTTGCCATGGCAGCTAGACAAGTTGGATTATTGATAGGACCAGGCTTAAATTTATTTCTGGAGCATTTGAATTTTTGGATTGGTCCTTGGCATGTAAATGCCTTGTCTGCACCTGGGGTAAGTACAGATATGTATTCAAAACATGTTTTGACTCGAGATGTGACTGAATTTTGGTATTATATGTCATATTTAATTTCTTGATGACTTCAAAAGATGATGTAATAACAAAAAAGATTGGCAACTATATTCATAATGCATTTCAATCAAGAAATGAAAATGCCATTTGATATGTAACACTTGTTTTATCCCATTAACAAATAACTTTTTGTAGTAGTAGTTATCACAACTAATCTTTATTGCTATTAACTGATAGAAACATTGTATTTCTAAAGATGCAATAAAGTTATTATTATTATTATTATTATTATTATTATTATTATTGTAATCTGTTAGAAATGCATTTTCTTCCAGAAATACTCTAATTAAAAAGTCTTTAATTCCCAGAAAAATCAATGATTGAATACTTGAACAGTTAGAAAAATGGGGACTTATATGACTTACTGTAAAATTTGTATTAAAAGCCGTGGCTTCTATTAAAATGGTACAATGCAACAGAGGGCATGTGGCTTATATTAGAGCATCTGCACATATGAGAAATGGTGATTTTTTTTGGTCTCAATTGTTCAAAAAGAATGGGTGCGGCTTCTATTAGGGATGTGTCTTTTAATACAGATTTTACAGTATATGTATGATATACCATCTGTGTATCCTTGTATATGTGCATTTGTATCCAGCAGTTTTTTCACACAATCTTGAAAAGACCAATTTCAAACTCAAGATGACCGATTCAAGATGACCGAATGGCAGCCATTTCAAGGCTAAAAGTACATCAAAATCACACATTCGCACTTTTCCAGAAACAAGTCATGCATAGATGGATGGATTCTGTTCAACTAGGTACTGTAAAATACTTTATTTTCACTTGGAATTAATTTTCGCTATTTTCGCTGAAGGAATGATTCAGTGAAAATAAAATCCAGCGAATATACCTCTTTTCCTATATTTTACATTAAACTCATCAAAAATCAGTGAAAATAAATTCCATACAAAACACCCAAAAATATTTTCAGCGAAAATTAATTCCAGCTAAAATAAAGTATTTTACAGTACATACATTGAACATAATATAGCCAAGATGCATGTTATTTTATTTTCTGAATCAGGTGGCCATTATATTTTATTTTAATGAATGCAATTTTGAATCTTCATGAAAACTACCTGCTCAATTGCTTGGATATTTGGTATGTAGGTACCCCAGGTGTACCTCTGTCAGATTTCTGCGTCCATGTGAATTGCAGCTATTTTAATGTTCTGTGTTTGAATCTGAGTTGCTCAGGGTGATTTTGTTCAGCACAGTATATACATATTACAAGTTGCGGTACCATGGGTGCACGTCATTTTGTGTTGTCAGATCAGATTCAAATTGG